TCACTGCACTCATAAGGCCTCTCTCCTGTGTGACCTCTGTGGTGATATCTGAGCGCAGAGCTAGAAGTAAAAGATTTTCCACACTCACTGCATTCATAAGGCCTTTCTCCTCTGTGGGACCTCTGATGATAACTGAGGGCTGAGCGATAGGTAAAAGATTTCCCACATTCACTGCATTCAAAAGGTTTTTCTCCAGAGTGACTTCTATGATGATACTGGAGTTCATACCTACAAATAAAAGATTTCCCACATTCATTACACTCATAAGGCCTTTCACCTGAGTGAACCTTTAGGTGCATATTGAGTCTGTGTCTTCGGGTAAAAGACTTGCCACATTCACTGCATTCATAAGGCCTTTCTCCTGTGTGAACTCTGTGGTGATAATGGAGAGTAGTATGAGTGCTAAAAGATCTCCCACATTCACTGCACACAAAGGACTGTCTTCCAAGGTGGACATCCTGGTCCTGAATATCTGTGTGTTTGGGACCAAAGGCGTTCTTGAATTCTCCCCAAGTATCATGACTTTTTCTGCTTTGTAAAGTTGCCTTGCACTGGGTGATTTCCTTTGGATTCTCCCCAGTATGAGTGGCCTCTTGCTGCAGATGCCCCGAGCCAGACAGGAAGTCCTTCTGAACTTCTCCACAGTTAAGGGGCTTTCCTGAACCATGGGATCCCCAGCTCTTCACAACAGAGGCCCTGTCCACACGGCTTCTGAAGGGTTCTGCTCCCACGTGCTGCTCCTGCTGCTGCTGAAACTTTACACTGAAATAAAATCGTTTCCCACAGGCCCCACACCTCAACAGCTTCTGGCTGTTTTCTTTTCCCTGGTGCGCAGCCAAGTGGAAAATGTCTCTCAAGACTGGACCACACATCTCACAGGGGTGGGTCTTCCGGGAAGACTGAGCTGCCTTGGGCGTCCTGGTCTGTGACACGCCTACAGAAGTGCTGTGGGCAAAGGGTGCCTCATCCTCTGCTCCACAGCAGCAACCTGAAGGCAAAGAAGCACTGGTGAAATTTGTGTTGACTATAGCGAGGGGGTGAGCCCATCACATACATCATCTGTCTTCCCTGGGCACAAGTTTATAGCATGCTTTTCCAGACACTGGAGATGGAATTCAGTTGAAGGAGTGGCCACTGTGCATTACTGGGCCCCTAAGGTCAAAGTATTGTGGAGAGCACACTAGCCAGAAGGAAAAGAGCCAGGCTCTACAACTTGTTCTCTGCCCACAGCTTTATGTTGGCCTGTTTCGTGGCTGAGTAGAAGGCTGTGGGAAAATCCACTCACAAGAAATTTGCTGCTGTTCAAGGTCAGTTTAAGTATATGTCAACATCTCATGGCAAACTGGGCAAGTGTGGATGCCAAAGTACACAGAAAGAGCAGTGAGAGAAATGGGTGAGATGTAGAGGCCTGAGAAGCACCGATTACCCCTGCACTGCAAGTCACGTAATTACAAAAGAAGTAGAACCCAGAAGTCCACAAACTGTCAACAGTGAAGAAGAAAAAGACAGAAATGGGGTGTGGCCATCGGCAATCACACCGAACTCTGGTTGAACAAACAAAGGTGCCCAGTATGATCTGAACACAGGCCTGATATCACACCTTTCCCAGCTGCCATTCATGAGAAGCAGGGCCCCTGCGAGCCCACCTGGTCATGCCCAGAGCACGTCCATACTATGATACACAAAGGACTGTTCCCTGTAAGCCCTCCTGAGCAACTACAGGTACCAGGAGATAGAAATAATGCAGGAAAGGGCACCTGGGTGGCTTCATCAGTTGGGCATCCGACCCTTGATCACAGATCAGGTCTTGATCGCAGGGTCATGAGTTCAAGCCCTGTGTTGGGCTCCACACTGGGTGTGGAGCCTACTTAAGAAAAGAAAGAAAAGGAAAAAAAAAGAAAAGGGCAAGGAAAGGGAAATGAAAAGGAAAGGCAAGGAAGAAATACTGGAGGAAAACAGGCCACGTGGATGGCCAGCACTGTCCCAGAGCTACTCACGATACAAAGCACCCAGACAAGCATCCTATGTGACTGATAGCAGCAGAATGGTAGAATAGGGTACCATCCTTCACCCCAACAAAAATGAATTCAACAGCTGTCCATGAATGACATTAGCTTCAGAGGGCTCAAAAATCCAATTAAGACCAATTACTACACAGCGGAGCATAGAGGAGAGTGCAAGCATGCACAAAGGACAGCTGGAGACTTTACTGGAGATATGGGGATGCGTCAGAAATAAGGGCTGGACCGAACTCTATCACTCACTCAAGGCAGGTGCTACAGCAGTCCCTGCTCAGCAGACTCCAGCTGCCTGCTCCACAGTGGACAATGGCATCTTCTGCCACCGAGTTAACCAACATACATCACTATCATGGACTCAGTGAATATAAAGCTACTGTGTCCTGCTCCCCCGACTCAGGAGTTGCTGTTGTGCAGCTCCAGTACAAGGACTACAACTGCCCCCCAACCCTGTGCATGTCCTGGGCCCCAGATCTGCGTCTATGTGTGCCGGCATTCCAGACCCTGACCCCCCGCTGCATCAGGTCTACCTGTGTCTTCCAGGGAATGGAAACAGTCTCCAGATAGGTTAGCCAGAAGCCAGGACCTCAGAGCCACTGTGTCTCCATGCACATGCAGACACAAACTTCATGGTTGCTCGGGGTGTGGCTGCAACTCACAAAGCAAACTAACACCACTGAGGTGTAACCGGTGTCCCAGGGCCCAAAACTGCTGTCGCTCTGAAAGTGCCCGCCCACCAGACCCTCTTCCATGGTTGCTCATGAGTGCCAGCCCATCAGACACCAGTGCCGCTGCCACACCCACAGGGTGCCTAAAAGTCGGACTAAGCACCGACATCAACTCTGCCACAATACTCTCCATGGAAAAAAAAGCCATCAGGTGTTCCTCAGCAGTCTTCTCCACTGCTTTGGATACTACAGCCTTGACCATCCTGCTGTCTCTTCCTGATGCCTTCGCTGATGCTGACAGGTGACAGAGCTGCACAGTTTATCACTGGGCCTTCCCCAGATCCAGAACGGCCACACCCCATGAAGCTGATACCCTTGCACCCACCAGCAGGTGAAGGACTCTCCTGACCCAAAAGTACCACAAAGTCTGGAAGAAGTGACCACACCATCAAATGTGCAAACATCAACACAAGGATGTAAGAAACAAAAAATCAAGGAAACATAACACCATCAAAGGAATACAGTAATTTATCAGAAAACACACCCAAGGAAATGGAGGTATGCGATCTATCGGACAAAATTCAAAATAATTGTTTTAACAAAGTTTAGTGAGCTACAAGAAAACACAGGTAGACGATTCAACAAGATACACAATAAACAAAATAAGCTGTTCAACAAAAATATAGAAATCATAAAAAGGAACAAAATGGGCTGGCCAAGGATGCAGTGAGGTTTAGTCACTGGTGGCCACACGAGTCTGAGTGGAGTGAGGAGTAGACTCACCTGAAAGTTGCATATTATAGGCATGCCTTCATCCAGATGCCCACAGGTGCCTGCCCCCACTGAGGTCATAGACATTGGCAGAGAGGAACAACAGGGTGGAGAATCACACCACACTTTATACTAGCAATACAGGAGAGCTCCTGGTGTGCCACTCTCCCAAAGGAGGGTCAGATATAAGCACTGACAACTGAATCAATAGTTGGTAACAGTCCACCCAGTCACTGATGGGACTCCTAATGAGACCACAGGCAGCTGGGAAGACATCAAAATATGTGGAAATGGAGCAGTACTAGACCATAATATATACTTATACAACACTAAATCCTCTTAATACCACCTACTTTTTAAGAACAAGGATGGCATATAACGCGTGGGAGAGAAGAATGTTTCTGTCTTTCTATATAGACTACGCTTAATGAACTGGTCTTTGTAGCAGAACTGTTTTCCTCATTCTTCGTGTTAGAAAACTTCCCACAGGGCCAGACCAGCACAACCAGCCTGTGCTTTTACACCCTCTTACTATCAATTACCAGAGTGATCTATGTGACCTTCCACCATTGGACTTGCATGGGTGGGTATTAAACTCTTCAGGATAATTAAACCAGCCAGAACTAAGATGGTACATGTATTCGTTTGCCTTAGGTGTCTAGCTCTGAAAGATCAGCTAGATGGAAATACTGGAGACCCATTTAACATGCAGCAAAGATGCTTTGCTTTGCTTCTGTTAAAGGATTAGGACTTTGGGAGGCTTAAACTGCAGCAGTTTGGTTTATTGTACTCTTGTACTGCCCTTGTTTTTTGAATATTCCAACTTATAACTGTTGCATCAGAAGAAACATTTCAACAAAGTGTCCTTTGGATATTAACAACTGCAATTATCTGATGACTTTCTTATCCTCTAACTAAAAGTTACTCATTTGAGATGTTGTTTGTTTAGAATCAAGGTCCTTTGTATATTTACACTTATAGGTGCTGGAAATCATTCCAAAGGGGCTATTTTAGAATACATGTAGGGGCACGTGGGTGGCTCAGTGGGTTAAGTGTCTGATTTCCACTCAGGTCATGATACTAGGGTCCTGGGATCAAGCCCCTCATGGGGCTCTGTGCTCAGTGGACAGTCTGCTTCTCTCTCTCCCTCTGCCCCTCCCCTCTGCTCGTGCTCGCACGTGCTTTCTCTCAGATAAATAAAATCTTAAAAAGAGAGAAAGAATACATGTAGAGAAATGCTTTGAACTAGTGTGATATAAACTATACAATAAAATGGAAATTTCATATATTCACAAAAATTCTGAATTGGTAAAAATTAACTTCATCTCTGGTATTAAATGTTTACATTAAAATAAGATGGCGACCCTGTCCCATTAAAAAATTGGGGGGCGGGGCGCCTGGGTGGCTCAGTCGTTGGGCGTCTGCCTTGGGCTTGGGTCGTGGTCCCAGGGTCCCGGAGTCGAGCCCAGTGTCGGGCTCCTTGCTCGGCGGGAAGCCTGCTTCTCCCTCTCCCACTCCCCCTGCTTGTGTTCCCTCTCTCGCTGTCTCTCTCTGTCAAATAAATAAATAATCTTAAAAAAAAAATGGGGGGGGGGGAGAGAAAGAGTCCAAGTTGGCGGAGGAGTAGGAAACCTTAGTTTTGTCTGGTCCCAGGAATTTGGCTAGATAGCTATCAAATTATTCTGAATACCTGTGAACTCCACGGGAGACCTGAGAAAAGAATTGCTGCATGTCTACAAATAGAAAAGCAACCACTTTCTGAAAGGTAGGAGGTGTGGAGAAGTGAATCGAAGGTGATATATCAGAAGATAAACCACGGGGGTAGGGAGCCTCTGGAAGCCGGCCACCAGAAAGTGATACAGCAGCAGAATGCAAAATCAGAACTTTTAGAAGGCTGTTCCAGTGAGGTATGTCCCTGCCTGAAAGGTGCTCAGGTAGCAAGCAAGGCAGAATACTAGGTAGGACAGTGTGGTCTCAGGATCCTTGGGGTCACAGAAAGAATGGGGGTGCCTGAGTTGCCGCAGAGTTCCCAGACACTGGAGCGAGGAAACCGGCTGCAATCAGGGTGCCCAAGAGTGGGGACTCAGCTCAGTGTTGCCATAAACCATGAACTGCCACACCGTAGGGCGACCACTCTCCAAGCAGGGGCTCAGCAAGCATCAGAGCCCTGGTGAGATCCCTCTTCCGCATGCACACTGCAGGGATCTACAGGGTTTGAAGACTCCCGGGGTCCCAAACGCTTCGTCACAAGCTGGGTGAGCATGGAGTACGGCCAGAGACTGGGGAGCCAGGAGTGATTGCCTGCTTTTCCCTGAGGGTGCACTGAGGACTGGGGAGCGTAAGGTTCCAGCTCTGGGCCTGGAGATTGGGAGGCCGCCATTTTCGTTATCATCTGCTTAAGCTGCAGGGAAAGCCTTCAGGGAACAAAAGCCATATACAGCAATCCAGAGCCCCTTACTTAGCCGGGCCTCCTAACAAGAGGGGTGCAATTCCTCCCAGGGCAAAGACACCTGAGAATCAGCGCAAGAGGCCCCCCCCCAGAAGATCAACAAGAACCTCCCACTAAGACCAAGTTTACTGATCACACAGAACTGCAAAACTCCAGCACTAGGGGAAAACAGTACATAGAATTCATGTTTTTTTCCTCATGATTCCTTAGCCTTTCAATTTTAATATTTTTCTTTTTCCTTTTCAACTATTTCTTATTTTATCAATCTTTTTTTAAAGGCCTTTTTAATTTTCATTTTTAGAGTTACATTCTATTCCTCCACTGTATTTAATTATATTTTCATATATATATGTATTTCTTTCTTTACAGTTTTGGGATGCAGTTTCATCTAACAAACACACCAAAATACACACAGAATGTAATGTATCGCTCTGTTCTCTTCACCTAATTATATTCTCTTTTTTTTAAGTCTTTTTTTTTTTTAAGATTTTATTTATTTGACAGAGACACAGCAAGAGA